AAAAGAAAGCATAATCACTGACAGCCATAAAGGCAAAACTGTCCAAAAAAAAAAGACAAGAAATCAATTAGCAACTTGTGAGATTGGGGTTATGGATTGTTCTGTAACAGTCCAAATCACACCGGCTTCAACAAGACCAAAAAAAAAGAAACATGAAAAAGCTATCAGTGCCATCTGGTGGAAAGACCTATATTAAAATGTCCAAGGTGATCTGACCACACCCACACCATTTCACAGCCTTGCACCCATGGCTGGTAAGCAGCCAGTGGACATCAAGGTGGTGATCTGATTGGATAAACCATGTTCTAACTCTTGCTTCCTGTGACACAGCCAGTTGGTATGCATTTTATATATCCTCTTAAGCCATAAATACACTACATAAACCTTTATCTCCAATACTATACATCCACAAAACCCATATCCAAATGGCTCTGGTTGGTTCCCCTACCAGGCATAGTTTCCCCAAAGTTAGAAAATTTGCAAAGACTTGCCAGAATACCTCACACAGACACAGGCATGCACTTAGACCACAACTGTTTAAATTACCCTTGTGTCCATTTCATTCCAGTTCGTGAGTTTACTGGAAATTAGTCTTCTTCTTCAAACTGAATATTGCTTGCATAAGAAATTATCCCAAAATGGATGGGTTAAACACTGAATAGTTAGGATCTCACCGTTTCTGTCAGTAGGGAATTCAGGAGGAGGCTTACTTGGGTGGTTCTAGCTCAGGGAATCCATAATGTGCAAGTCATCTCAAGTCTTGATACGGCTGGTGACTGTTGGTAAGACGCTTCAATTCCTCCCCGCCTGGTTCTCTCTAGGTTCTCACCACCTGGCAGCTGGATTCCCAATAGAGAACAAGCCACATCCAAGGTCGGCATTCCACCCAGAAGTTACTCATGATCATTTCTTATCCTACTGGTTGCACAATCTGGCCCATCATGGTAGAAAATGACAACACAGGTATGAGATGCTCCTTGGGGCCATCTTGGAGGCTGTCTACCACACCACACCTTCTTGTTAGGTCCAATTTCCAGATCACAAAATGAGAAGTGTGTTGAGATACAAAAATCAGCATACATAAGACACTGACAATACTGACTGTAGTCCAAGGTCCACAGGAGTCCACACTCAAACCATCTTTGGGCTTGGTGGAACACAGGGAGCTAGCTACCTGCAGGAAGAAATTCTCTAATGTCATGTCTAATTGTTACTAACATCAAGTCTATCAGGGACCAGAGATATCAATGTGGATAAGAACTAAGTCAAAACTAGGAAAGGGGGAGCTAGGATGTCCTGAGACTGATCTGTTGAGCTTTTCAAAAGATACCGCACAAAATGGAAAAGGAAGACCCTGTCTTCCTAACCTTATAACCTAAGCTTATCGCCCCGCTCACTACCTCTACTACCCCACTGACTGCCTTCATGCTTGTTATTTTTACTGCACAAATTAGTTTTTTAATGTATATTATCTGATTGCCAGATAATGACAATTGCTTTGATGAACCATTTAGGACTTTATTATATGTTTGGGGAATCATTATATCTGAGTCTAAATTCCCCCAGTACATTGTAAATTCCTTGAAGTCAGGGAAATTACTTAAGATTATTATTCATCCCATCATCAGCATAAACAGATTGTCTCCAGGAATCTGTCCCTGAACACACTCGTGTACACAGATAACCATATTCTGGCATACTCATGCATACCACAAGAGCAGTGCCTCATGAAGAAGGTTTATTTAGCCCTTTTACAAAAATAGTAATTAGCCAGGTGCTGGTGGCTCACGCCTGTAATACTAGTTACTTAGGAGGAAGAGATCAGAGGATTGAAGTTTGAAGCCAGCCTGGGCAGAAAAGTCTATGAGACTCTTATTTCCAATTAACCAGCCAAAAGCTGGAATGAGAGTGTGGCTTAAGTGGTAGAACTCCAGTCTGGAGAAAAAAAGCTAAGCAAGAGAGCAAGGCCCTGAGTTCAAGCCCCAGTACCAGCACCAAAAAAAAACCTTATTAGACATAGGATTATACTAACAGTCACTATTTTTTTTGGGGGGGGGGTCTGGTCGTGGGGCCTGAACTCTGGGCCTGGGTGCTGTCCCTCAGCTTTTCAGCTCAAGGCTAGCGCTCTACCACTTGAGCCACAGCACCACTTCCGGCTTTTTTTCTGTTTGCTTATGTGGTGCTGAGGAATCGAACCCAGGGTCTTGAGCATGCAAGGCAAGCGCTCTACCACTGAGCCACCTTCCCAGCCCCAGTCACTATTTTTTTTAAAGCAGAAGGCAGATTTTTTTTTAAAAAAAAAAAAGGTAACCTAAAAGAGATGCTACACAATAGTGAACACATCCTCAAACACAGTCAACAAAAAGAGTCACAAATGTACAGTGCTAGAGACACACAAAAACATAGGATCATAGTCTTTCCAATGCATTCCACTTACTCCTTTTCTAGACATTTGTTTATCTGATGTTTTTGAGCACCATGTTCAGGCTCCACCTTTGCGTAGAATGGGAAGACGGGAGGAGGCAACGTTGGTTTCAGTGCAATGAGGTAACCCCAGTTCAGCACAGTAACTGCCATCCTGAGAAGGATGGATTGACATCGAAGGAGATGGAGGGTCAGATACACTCCACAGAGAGAGGTGAAGAATGTCAAGACCATAGCAGGGGGAGAACTCACATTGCCAGTTGCAGGAGTCCTCAACAGGAAGAAGAAGGATTTTGCGTATAGTTTGAGCTCCCTGAACTACGACAGAAAATTAAATGGGACATTTGACAATCAGACACAGCTCTGGCAGAGACTCCCTTTTCTCCCTGGGTCTGCTGGAAAGAATTTCTTAAAACTTATTATTCATCCAACCAGCAGTGTCAACAGATTGCTCTCCAGGAATAGTGTCCTCCCTGGGTAGAACAGCAGAGAAAGTAAAGGAAGGCTTTAAAAAGGAGCCAACTGGCCTTTCCATAGGGATTCCTGTGGGTTGATGAATGTGCTCCTGTCCTGCAAAAACCTATCAGGGAAAATTACAGTCTGAAGACACAGAGAAGAGAATCTGTTCCCCCACCCCCAAAGCGTATTGCCTTTGGAGGAGAAAGACTTTGGGCTAGATATCAAGGAGCCAAGAAGGGGAATAGGAGGGCAGAGTCATGGGTAGGAACTTTAAAGAGTGTAAAGAACAAAGGATTGAGCAAGAGATGACTAATTTGCAAGGACTGGCCCTGGAGTTTTGTCTCTAGAGGCAAAAGCAACCAGAAATCCTGGGGAGCACTTCAATTGAGAGAAGTAGGGTTAGGTGATGAGTGTTAGGAAGGCCACAACTGGGAAGACAGAAAAGGGAGTGAATAGGGAATTGTTCAGGGAAACAGGAGTGCAAACAGGAAGGATTTAATCAGGACTCAATTGTATAGAAGAGGAGAAAAGAGGAGATTTGGCAACTCCTGAAATCCCAGGAGAGTAGTTGCCTGGGTAAATGGTTTTGCACTGAGTCAGAGCTGGCTTTGAGCTTTGGGGAAGGAGAAATCTTTTTTATTTTCCTGGAGTCAGAGGACTAAATGGTGAAATATGCATGTCAGGCATAGGCCAGGCAGAGGGAGAAGCTCATTTTCATGGCTCTGTGCCCTGGGCTTGGATCAGTGTGTCCCTGACCAACTCCTCTAAGGATCAGGTTATTCTGTATGAAAAGGATATAAAATGCCTTTCATGTGTGGTTCTTCTGGAAAACACCTGGCACAGGATCAGGTACTATTCTCACAGTAATACAACAATACATCATTCATATGAAGATACAACTTCCAATCCTAGCTGAGACACCCTACTCAGATCTAGGCCCCGGCTTATAATAATAATGATAAACTGACCTGCCCAGAACAAGAGGACTCAGAAGGCCTGGAAATCCTGAAATACGGAGAAATAGGAAATAGGAATTAAAATGGAGAAAACCCATAGGTGTTTAAATCTGAGGACATTTGAAGAGTGGTTTTGTGAAGAAGATATAATTTCCTGTAGAACAGCACTGTGTTTCTGGAGCTATTCCACATCTTCTTTAACCTCTCCAGTGCCTGTTCCCTCACCTACAAAATGAAGTTAGATTACCTCTGTCATAACTAAGTTCATATATGTAATGTCCTTAGAAGAGTTAAGCCAATACCAGGGATTGAACTCAGGGCTTTATGCTCTCTCTTGCTTGTTCACACTGACACTCTACTGCTTGAGCCATGCCTCTAACCTGACATTTTGGAGATGGAGTCTCATGGAGTTTTCTCTATGATCTTGAGACACAATTCAGTCTCCTGAATCGCTAGGATTACCCGCCACAGGGTCTAGCTAATAAATGCGATTATGCTAATGGATATCATTACTACATTCTGAGTAAGATTTCTGGGGACCACGTGGCAGTCCACTATTTAAAAAAATTTTTTTTAAAAAACAATCCCAGCAAAGGGAACATGAAATTAGCCTTTTTTGTAATTAATTCCTTCTTACTAGAAAAGTTCAAGAAGTAACCCACAATGACTGGTCAGTCACTGGCCGGAGACTGGAATAGATTTGTCACCTCTTAAACTCTCCTCCCACACCCTCTGTGAAGAAAGGAAGGCAAGGCCAGGCCCCGAGGGAGAAGAAGGGGGATGGGGGGAGGGGAACAGCTGTCCAGAGATGCAGTAACAGCAATGCACCACCAGGGAGCAGCAGAGTCCGGCCCCGGTTACGTCATCTACAAAGCAATTAATTTGCTCAGCCTTTGCTCCGTGGTGGGAGTGGACCTCCACTTGGTCATCCAGCCAATTAACGAATGCCCTGCTCCGGCTGGGCGGGGTGGCGGGGCCTTACTGGGTGACTGGGAGCAGAGGCCCCACCCCGGCCCCGCCCCGGCGTTTCTGCCCGCCCCACTCCCTCCCCCCTCCAGGCAGAGAGGGGCGTCACCCGGGCGGGCCCCGCGGTCACGTGGCCCGGCCGGCCCTACGGAGCGGGGCGGAGCGGGGCGGGGCGGGCGCCGGTTACCCGGGAGGGCGGGGCCGTGGCGACCAGCCTCGTCTCCGGCGACCCCGCGTCCCGTGCGCCCCGCCTCCCCGAGCCATGGGCGCACAGCCCCCCAACTTCTCCTGGGTGCTCCCGGGCCGGCTGGCGGGGATGGCGCTGCCGCGTCTCCCCGCCCACTACCAGTTCCTGCTGGCGCAGGGCGTGCGGCACCTGGTGTCGCTGACGGAGCACGGGCCCCCGCACGGAGACCGGTTCCCCGAGCTCGCCCAGCACCGCCTGCGCGTCCCCGACTTCTGCCCGCCAGACCCCCAGCAGATCGACCGCTTCGTGCAGATCGTGGACCAGGCCAACGCGCGGGGAGAGGTCAGCGGGCGCCGGCGGGCGGGGGCGGGGCGGGCTGGGATGGGCGGGGCGGGCTGGGATGGGCGGGGCAGGCGGGGCGGGGCGGGGCGGGGCTGGAGGAGGGGAACCGGAGCTGGGGGACCCCAGCCACGTCCAGGCGCGGGAGGGACCTGGCCCCCAATGGGCGGAGTCACGGGGCGGTGGGGGGGATGAGAGGCCCCCGACCAGCTGATGTTGTGAATGGGAGAGAGAGCCTGAGGGAGGCAGGCCGTTTACAACCTTCTAGAACAATGCCGGCCAGTGTAAGGGAGCCACAGCTTGTAATTTTAAATTTATCACAAAATACATTATATGTGATACATAATGTGTATTATGCATTATACATAATGCATATCGCATATCTTATGTAAATTTTATATGTAAATAGAAGCGGATGGAATCAATTCTGGTACTACTGACTGAGTAAGGCAAAAAAAGGTATTTCAACATATAATCAGTATCAAATAAATTTGTTAATAAGATATTTCTGGGCTTGCCCTGCTGCATCTTCAAGTCCTAGTGTGTATTTTACACTGCATTTCAATTTGGACTGCCCACGTTTCAAGTGGTCAGCAGCCAAGGTGGCTTACTGGCTTCTGTGTTAGACAGCAAGGGTAAAAGAGGGGTCCTGGAGGTAGACCAGATGCCCAGCGTTGGAGCCAGTCAGTTCACTACTGTATAGGGATTGTTTTTTATGGCCCAGATGACATTTCTCACCCTCTGAGGGTCTGAGACTGGGCCACAGAGTACTGGGGAGGGTATCGGGGGCTCCACCAACCGCATCAAGCTGCCTCTTCACAGGCCGTGGGAGTGCACTGTGCCCTGGGCTTCGGTCGTACTGGCACCATGCTAGCCTGTTACCTAGTGAAGGACCAGGGCTTGGCTGCAGGAGACGCCATCAGTGAGATTCGTCGCCTGCGACCTGGATCCATAGAGACCTACGAGCAAGAGAAAGCAGTCTTCCAGTTCTACCAGCGAACAAAATAAGGGGTCTTGAAATGAGGGGTCTCGGAAGTCTTCTACTAGCACCTCAGCCCCCTATTCTATGTGGGGCATGCGGCCAGAGAGGAAGGAAAGTGAAATACTAAGCCCTCCAGCTTGCATTGCTCCCATTGGACTGAAGTAGGCAGCCCCGCCTAGCAGGCAGGTCCCAAATGAAAAAATGGCTGCGACCCCATGGAAGTGAAAAGAACGGGACCCTGTGCTGCTTCCTTGAATAAAGGATTTGTCCAGCTCACACTGGACAGCACTTTACAAAGCACTCTCACACATCAATTTAAGCTTCATGCTAGCTCTGTGATGTGGGAATGGCAAAAAAAAAAAAAAAATCCCTGTTCTTTGGATGGGTTGGCTAAGGCTCAGAGAGGTGCCAAGATCATACTTCTAGAAAGGACTGTGACATGTATCTTTAGCCTCTAAAAGATGCTGGAATTCTCTGCACCTGTTCCCTGATGCTATTTGATATGGTTTGTGGGGAAATGGCCAGTGAAAAGAATGCAAGTTCCTGGCTGCCAAGCTTTCTTGAATCTCCAGATCTCTGCTTCTTCCTGGCCAGGAGGACCTCTGTGAATGTCACCCCTGGGTGGAGATCCACTTGCCCCACATGTGTCACCCTTATCCCTCTCACAACAACGGAGGAAGCTTAGGTGTTTAGCTCGTAGATGAGAACTGTCTACACTTCTCCAGGGCTGCCTAGCTCACGTGGTTCTTCCATCTTGCCATGCTGTCCTCCGCATCAGACCAAAAAGTGCTGGAGCTGCACGACTGGTTACTCAGAGGGGTGAATATTCATTCATTAAATAAAGACTGGTAGGGCTGTGAATCCTGGCCACGTTTCTTTACCACACTTTCAACTTCTTGAGAGATGGTGTGAATTGTGTATGTTAGCCAAATGGGCTCTGTTAAGCCGACATGGGTCTGAACTGTTGTTCTTTGCTGAAGCAGGCTGTGCTGAATAAAGCAGGATTCATGAGGTATGTATTGTGTGCCTGTCTGAAGGAGGCTCCACTAGAGATGTGAGATACTGAGCAGAATGAGGTGTGCTGACTGCTGTCAGGAGCTCACAGCCTGCAGAAGAAGCTAAGCACACAGTCCAGTCACACACATAATGGACATTCGAAATTGTGTCTGTCAGTCCAGGCACATGAGATAGAGGGATAGAGGAGTTGGGCCTTCCATCTTTCTAGAACCTTCCCTCATGCCCCAGTCAAGAGCCAGTCCTCAGCCATCCCCTCCTCTCTACGTTCTCTCTTTGTCTACTGCACACCCAACTCTGTGGCATCCTGCTCATCCTGACACAAAAGGTGAATCAACCCAAATCTCACCAGCTGTGAGGTGCCCTCCCCACAGTCTGGCTGTTGGATCTGAGGAATCAATTCCTTTACTTAGATTCCCAGTCTGTCAGGGAAGGATATTGCCCAAAGAGAAGAAACCTAGTATTCAGACTGCCACAGAAGAAATGAGAAATAGCATGAAGAGAGGTCACACATGAAACCCTTCTTACCCTCCCCCTACAAGTCCCCCTTCCTCTCTCATCCTTGCACTGAAGCTTACTGCTTTCTGTGCCTTGATGCAAGCCAGAGCATCCTCCAAAAGAGTCTGTGCACGTTTCCTTGCATGGGCAGGAAGGATGTGAGTGGCCACTTCCTGCACCCCCCTTTTCTTCTATCAGGATGGGGGGGAAGGAAGTGGGAGGCCCAAAGCTTCGCCCCAGAATTCATGTCTGCACACCCATCCTGAGCTGTGAGGACTGCACTGCCACTCTTCATCCTGTCTCTCTGTTCCTCTTTTGTTCCATCCTCCCCACATCCTCTGCACCACACAAGCAGAATTGTGCCCTTCCCTTCCTCCCAGGTTCCTTTGAAGGTGATAGAAAAATTCTCTTAACCCCATTAAAGCCCTGTGTGCAGCCTCCCTCCCCATAATTTAAGCAGGTCTCCTCTGCCTCAAGAGTTCCTTAGGGAAATAAACATATAATTATGTGCTTAAGGAAATCGCTTTTTAAATAAGTAAGGGTTGACTTCAAATGAAAAACTCTGCCCTTACCCTTCGATCTTCCTTGAGAGGTTAGCCTGAAGCTCCATTTGGGCTCATTCTTGGCCTAGAATTTTTGCCTTCTTGTCACCCTCTCTTCTGTATTTATCCACCATTGAGGGGTCACAGATTAGCGGTGACCTGTTCCCATTCTGTTGTATCCTGAGAGGAGAGGACTAGAACAAGCCTCCTCCATTTAAAAAGCACAATAGCATTGCATCAGGCCAAGATTTCCCAACAGTGCTGCTGGCATGTTGGGTTGGGTGATTTGTTCTGTGGTTGAGCTGTCCTGGGCAGGACATTTAGCAGTATCTCTAGCCTCTACCTACTAGATGCTAGTAACACACCCCTTTATCACCAGTTGTGACAACCAATGATGTCTCTAGACACTGCCGAACGTCCCCTGTGGGGGACAAAAGCCACACTCTCCACCCCCAGCTGAGGACCACAGTGTCAGATCAACAAGCAGCAGCTGCTGCCATCAGCTTTCATTCCCTTAGGGAGTCAAGGAGGGAACAGACGGCCATTTCTCCTGCAGATGCACACATCTTAGTAAGGGAGAAAAACCCATCAAATAGCATTATCTTCCAACCTGTGTCTGGCTGGCTGGCTGGCTGTCCATCATCTCTAGTCCCTCAGCCTGTCAAGGTTGGATTTCCAAGCAGTAATTGACATCGCTCACTTCCTCTATTCAAGAAGGCTGTATTTCTGATGAATGACTAGCAAACATGGCTGCAACTCACAACTCCCTCCACCCTTCTGTAAAGGTCTCTTCATATTTGGTACACGGTTGGAGTTCTGTATTAAAAGGAAGCTGCTCTGTGTAGCAACCTTGCTCCAAGTCATCTGAGCTCTTCCCTGATTGTTTCATTTGGTTCCTCTCCCAGAAAGTTGTTCTGATGCACAAATAACTGGAGTTGGGACCGGAAGAGAACTAGGGCCAAAAGCTTCTTTGAGACGCTTTCTCCCTAGCCTTGTCCCCACTCCCACTTCCCCTCCAGGATGCCCAGTTGGGTTTCTGGTGCTTTCTAGGTTCTAAATGCCATGCTGCCGGGTAGGCCATGTGTCACAGCACTTAGCTTCCTGGCACAGGGAAGATTCGAGTGAGGACACAGGCCCACACTTACACACTCCTGCTGCTACCCACCCCTCCCTCAGAGGTAGAATGAATCAGCACCCTTACAGCTCAACCCTTAGAGCTGTTCATAACATGTGGGATGCCATACACAGCGGCTCCTCTCAGATGATCTCCTGGCTGATGCCAGCTACTGCAGCTCCTCTCTGATGATCTCCTTGGCTGATGCCGTCCACAACAGCTCTTCGCTGATGATCTCTGGCTGAGGTGGTCTGGTCTTCAAGTCCTCCACCCACTCACCCACCTTCCCCCATTTTCCAATATGGAGCATATAACCCTTTGTGTTGATGAGAGAACTGAGATTTAGAGAACTGAATAACATACCCAATGCCACACTTGTACTGAGGAAGGTGGGAAACAAACCCAAGCCATCTCCTGAATCCAGAGCTCATCCCTCTGTCATGAGACATGTGCCTGCCAAGGCTGTCCTCAGTTCCCTGAACATGGAAGAGTCTATCTTCATCATCAGAGCTCAGCCTTATGGGCCATCCTATCCACATGGCCAGTGGTCAGTCTCTTCATCTTCTGAGACTAGAGATGAACCTTGCACCTGACACTCCAGTCAGTAGCACATGAATTCTTCACTGCTCTTCAAAACACAGACTATTGTTTAAATGTTACAGTCAGAATAGTAACACTCTTACCAGGATGGTTCTGTCACATTAACTCTTACCTAATCAAAGCACTCAGATGTACCCACCTAGCATGTCACTCTTAAGGCATGTATGACTGGCACAGAGCCCTCAAAAGCCCTCTCTCACACACACAGTATGTATATAGTGATTTACCAAAAAACCCTTTCTGAGTTTGTTGTTTGAGCCCTTAATGCATGCCAGGCACTGTGCCAAAAGCAATATTGTCCCATTTGCTCCTCAAAAAAATTAAAAGCCCTATGTGTGCAAATGGCCAATGTATAGTTAGTAAGTAAGCTGATAACACGGTTTAAGTAATTTTCCCCACATCACATAGTAGACCAAGATTCATGCTTGAGGCTAACAAGATAGCTCTCGAGAAGAGAGACTGCTGTAATTAGTAAATAAGAGCAGCCTATGGTGGTCCCCCAGAATCAAGCCTCAGGACCCTGGGTGCAGCCTCTGCTCACTCAGCTTCCTGTGTGTGGCTGCCCAGTCATTCATCAGCACAGGCTGACCTGTAGTCAGCCCTAACAGGCTTCTGCCTTGAGTCTCCAACACCATCAAAAACACAGCCCCCTGTTAATTTAGAAATGAGTCACATAAACACCCATTATGCTTACCATTTTCTCCAGCTATTATAGATTCAAAGCATACTCTCGGGAAGCAGCATGCCTGTCCAAGCAAGCAGAAATTTGAGAAACACTTTGGTGCACAACCATGCCTGAAGTTGATGACTTATTTGCAACCTTGATAACTGGGTCTTTTGTACCAATAAATTGCTTAAATTGCTTCTACGACTCTCTCACCCTATTTTTCCCTTGACTTCTTCTGTCACCATGGATATGTGATCATGAAACAAATTAGCCACATTACCTCTGAATTTTTAATGTGTGTCATTCAATATGGCAAGCAGTTCTAGGATTGCCCCCTCCTCGGCTTTTATCATAACCACACTGCCTCTTCTTTACTGCCAGACCCTGAGTAGTGACCAAATTCAAGATGCTTCCATGGAAAATGGTAAGGAGCACAGCCATCCCATGGGTCATACTGCTGACCTACCCCTGTAGGTTTCATGTACCTTTGGCATCCCCTACCCCTTCACTAATTTACATGTTTTCTGTAGGTACCTCCCATCCCTTGGGATCTAGCTGGGGCTGGATGCAGTGTAGAATCCCAGAGTGAACTTAGAGCTATGCCATTCTTGGTACTGATCCACAATGATCTAGAGCATTAATCTATCTCCTCATTTCAAATACTCTCCTCTTCCACAGCCTTTGTTCTCTCTACTTTACCAATTTGGGAGGCCCTCAAGATCACCTCCACATTGAATAATTCACAAGAAGAACTCACACAGTTCAGAAAAGCTGTTTTCCTCCTGCTCATAGTTCATTGCAGTGAGAGAATGTAGGTAATAATTGTCAGAGGGGAAAAGACAGAGGCCAGAGTCCAAAAGAAACAAGACACAAGCTTCCAGTTGTCCTTTCCCAGGGGAGTCACATGGACAGGCTTAATTCTCCCAGCAACGATGTGCGACAACACAGACAAAAATCTTGCCAACTAAGGCTATTCCCCAGAGTACTGATGTTCGGAGATTTTATTAGGAGTTAGTCACACAGGCAGGCAGCATGTGCATAATTGACCTTAGCCACTCTGTCACCAGCCCCAACAGAGGTCAAACTGAAACAGCATGGCCCAAAGCAGCCTAAGTTTATAAAAACAGGTGTTCAGCATAAATCACATTGTTAGCATGAACCATCTGGCTGGCCTAAGGTTTCAGGTACACAGAGATACTCTATCATCCAGGATATTCCAATGGTCCAGTAGTCATCTCAGGCAATGGGGGATGGGCAGTCCTGAAGACCTTTGCAGTGTACAGGGTTTGGAAAACCCAGGCCTACTGTGCTCACTTCACACTACCAGATACTTTGTGTTCTCTCCCCATAACAGTCTGGGAACCTGTTATTCCCTTTTGTCTGATATGCTGCTTCACTCTGGCCTAATTGAGTGGGTTAATAGCTT